ATATACATATATATATATAGATATAAATAAGTAAAAATAGATTTGGTGCTTGATCTTTGGATCTAGAAGTCCCTTTCCACAAGCACGTAAGTTCTTGAGATCTGCGATAAGGAAGAAAATATAAACTTTAGGCGTACTTTTTTGTTTTTACTTTTATATTGGTCGAGCTTTACGAGTTGATTTGATTTTTATCTTATCAGTTTGGTTCCCAATTTTCACTTCAACTCGTTTATTGTTATCCTTGACATTAATTACATAATAATTTATGTGTTTGTAGATACATAATATGTTTATAGGTATGTCGTTCGATTTTTGTCATATTAAAATATTATAGTCCACGGGCTCACATACAAAAAGAAAAATGATTAAAAGCAAGCTGTAACTTTGCGTGCAGCTTAAGTTTGACGAGTCTCCGAAGATTTAACTATGAGGAAAATTCAACAGTGGGAAATTTTCCCGTGATTTTCAGGAAAACATGTAAATCTGGCATAGACATGGAATGTTATGACCAGCACTTTTTTTAAGATTAAATGAAAGATATATTTTTTTAAACCCCCCAAAAAATTTGTCCGACAAAAATTTTGGTATTTTAAGTTTGTCCCCCACCCCAAATATGTCGATTTGGTGACATTATGGTTGGTGATAACCAGCAAGCTGATTTTTCTGGGAGGGTTTGGTAATAAGATTTGAAATGAAAGTATCTTATTGTCCGACAAAATTCTTGAGAAGTTTTTGCAGTCCGACGCTCCGAAGATGTCGATTTAACGACAACATGGTTGGTGATAACCAGCAATCTGGTTTTGATTTTTTTCTCTAATAATTGAAATGTATAACACAATAATATACTTGTCCGCCAAAAAGATTGGAAAATTTGCCTTAAAAATGGGAAAGATAACTATTTTTGTGGTACCTAATGGTCATTCCGCTATAAAATAATTAATTTTTTAATGAAAAAATAAAGAAGAATAAATAAGAAAATTATCTTGTTAACAGGAGCAACAGAAATTCATAAATAATTATGTCTATAAAAATTAATTTAATTAATTTCCATCAAAATGATTTCTTTGTTCAAAGCATGTGAACATTTTATTTTATAAACTATTGTAACTATTATATAAAAAATGGTAACTGTAAAATGAATGCATACATTTTTGCTTGTTTTTTTAAATTATTTTTTGCAATCTTCTTTTGACAAACACTTTACATATAGTTTTGTTCTTGAAAAAACAATTAAACCATTTTTAAATCCTCATGGGAAAATAATAACTCAAGTGTAGTTAGCCCCCAAAGTTAGCCCCCTAGGCGGAACAACCGGACAATACTAAAAAATAACCCAAACAATAGTTGAAAGAGGTGTACTATAGCGCATTTCTACCATCAAAGTGAGTTGTTGTCGGGTCCGGGAGCGGAAATGGTGCGACATGCAAAGTTAGCCCCCTATTTTTGCTATAACTCTCATCGTACCCGGACAGGACGAAATGATCTAAGGAATAGTTGAAAGAGGTGTACTATAACGCATTTCTATCATCAAAAGTGACTTGTCCGGTCCGGGAATGGAAATGGCGCGACTTACAAAGTTAGCCCCCTATTTTTCCTATCTCATCGTACCCGAACAACTCTCGATTGACTCTTATCAGCGCTCACATGCTTCGCTCTGCATTTTTCTTGTTTTGAATGTTATTAATTAATCCCAGAAAAATCAGCTTGCTGGTTGTCACCAACCATAATGTCACCAAATCGACATATTTGAGGTGGGGAACAAACTTAAAATACCAAAATTTTTGTCGGACAAATTTTTTGGGGGGTTTAAAAAATATATATCTTTCATTTAATCTTTAAAAAAAAAAGTGCTGGTCATAACATTCCATGTCTATGCCAGATTGACATGTTTCCCTGAAAATCACGGGAAAACTTACCACTGTTGAATTTTCCTCATAGTCAAATCTTGGGAGACTCGTCAAACTTAAGCTGCACGCAAAGTTACAGCTTGCTGTTAATCATTTATTTTTTTGTACGTGGGCCCGTGGACTATTAATACATTCTCATTTTTGTTTCAACGAAAATATATTTATACTTAGCAGCGACTTGATTTGTAATTAATTACCTATGACAATGCAGCCTTTTTGTTTAAAATAAATAAGTGAAAATAAGCGTCTTATAATAGCCGTATCTTAATTACCTAAGGCCTCAGTTCATATCTCCCCTAACTGACCAATCAGCATTCAAAAATTAGCTGAAGTATCAGGTAAATAAAATATAGTTGTTATTGAATTATTTTACAACTATGGTTGGGGCGACATCTAGTAGGAAATGGCAAAACTACATATATACTGTGAAAAGGTTCGCTATAGAGATCTAACAAGCAAGCTAAAACTCTATTGTACTCCTAGGTGGCATGTCGATCGACATTATCGATTTATCTGCGTAGCAATCCAATACAAGTAATATTTAGTAAGTTATTACATTAGAAATTATAAATGTAATGAATAATATTCGTACCCACAAAACATTTTTGTAAGTCGTACTTATACATCATTAAATCCATATGAGTAACTAAATATTTAGTTACTCTTATGATTAAATCTAATGGCAATAATAGTGCTGCTCTCTAGATTGAACGATCTAAGCTCAGGAATAGATTGGAAACAATAGTGAAGGATATCATAAATTATTCTCCTACGCATATAGGGGAGGCTTGGAATACACTACAGAAACTTAATTTTATTATTCGTCCTTTATATAATTGACTGTAAGATGTCGCCACAGATATAATTTATAAATTAAAAAATATGAATATTTTAATATGTTACCCTCAAACAGTTTAATTTTTAAATTCTGTAGGATACAAATTGGGATTGAATAGCAATAGCAATTTTCTTTATTTTGTTTCGTTAGCATTCTCTTTCTTCTGTTCAGTTATAATTTATTCCAGTGTGTAAACCAGAAACCAGAAAAGTAAATTTAACAAATAAATACAACGAAATTCAACACTACTGATTTTTATAGTAGAGTCGTAGTCTTTAATTGTAGCACATTAAAAATTAATTTATAAATATACAAATATGACTATTGAATACTACGTTTGAAGTGAATGATACGTATTCTATTTTGTACAACTGTGCTTTAAATGAAATAAAACACTTCTCACTAGTATAAAGAGATTGTTTATTGTAAACCGCAACGCTTATCTCGAAAATCATGTGAACAATTGAGTTTATATTGTTTATTTATTTATCGTTTTGTCCCTATTGCACGTAAACAGTTAGTTTTATAGTGGGTACTATGTAACACTGTCAATACTGTATAGAATTGGTGTTCAAAATATATATTATATTATACGTAATTAACAGAGTGAAGCCAGCGGTTGTCAACAAGTTTTTGTTAAAAATATGATATCAAAATATGTTCTATTTTTCAAAAACGGCGCATCCTACGAATAAAATTGGAGGCCAATTTTATTCAGAACGGATGACAGATTAAAAAAAATATATATAAAAAGGGAAGAGTCAGTGGCGTACCATTTCTTTCATTAAAAAAGGTTGTGGCATTCTCGCACAAACACCACTGGTTCAAGTAGAAATATTCGGATCACAACAAAAAATGCAATCCCTCCAAAGAATTTTTCAAATTTCGAGTCAATATCTTTAAAACTGAAATAATTAATAAAAATAAATAAAAAATTAAAATTTACACACTGTATCTCGGAACTGAAGCATATTTCGACCTACGTTTATATGAACTTTTTTTCATAAAATAACTTTGGCTACCACCCCCTAAAATATTCCGCACTTATTTACAAACACCCTGTATTTCACCTTGTATGTATGATTAATTAAATGAATTTTTAGTTTAGTTGGAGAGAATATTTGAAATGTAAATAAGTCATGGTGTGAACAGTCGATTGACAGAAATATTTTTTTGTAAATAAATTTTTCTTTAATACCTTCTGACTTATCACACTGATACTTTTTTGGTTCGCTGACTCCACCATAAATTGTTATTTATCATATTAATTCTGCATGTTAAAGAAAAAAATTAAAATGTGAATTTCAATCCCCTCCTTTAAGAGGGTATATCACCTCAGGGGTGCAACTTTCATAGAAGGTATTTTTACTTCAATCCTCTTATTTTTGGCTCTATATTCACTGGTACCATTTTTGCTACTTCATTTAAAAACACCCTGTAGGGTACAAAATATGAACAGAAATAAATCCAAAAATGAAACAAAAAATAAGGGTTTCTGTTTAAAAAAATTATTCACAATAATTTTAAAGCAATTGTTGGCAGTCATGGCGATTGCGAACCAATACCCGGAAATCATGGGAGTTTTGATAGTGGTTAACCCATTACTTCGATACAAATGTCTTACCGATTCGAAATTAAATTATACCGATTAGAAACTAAATAACAGGCGAGAGAAAGGAAAGGAACTTCACAGGTATTTATTTAGTTTAATCTCATCTACCCTTCCAATAACTGCTGGTAAATAATAACGGCCAAAACGATTCCACATGCAACGTTTAGAAAACCATTGCTATAGAATAAATAGCATTACTACTTATTATGCCAGAAGGGCAGAAAGACGGTATATTGTAACATAGACAGTTTTTCTCAGTAGTCCATGTGACAAAAACAATTGATTGTCATGTTCAATTGATTTTGCCACATGAACAATTGAACATTTTTATGTTGCCACCCTATAAAATTGCATTTGCTGAGTAGCGAATTTCTTGACGATTATTTTATGTCGCAAAATAACAAACAATGCAAATATATTCCAAATATAAATAAGATTATTATTCGTCTGCCCCTATCTTTATTTCTAAACGAAAAAAAAGAAACAAGTTACTTTATAATATATTTATATACTTTCTATGAAAATAAAGTAAATAAAGATAACAGAATTATTATAATAAATTTATAAATTTTTTTATTCCTAAAGGATCAGTAGTTTCGTTTAATCCTATAATCGTGGAAAATTAACTACCAACTTTTATCAGATATAATGTATGTTGTTGTGATAGAAAAGGTTATCAAATTCCAATAACAAAAATAAAACCAATCATATTTTACACATTAACTGATATTGGTGATCGATTTTTTCTTTAAAATAATTATTATACTTCTTAAACAGTCTTTTATAAACACTTACATTTTAAAATCTAAATAAAGTGGGAATTTTATCATTCTTTTTGATGTTTCTTGATGATTTCGAGCACTTCTTCGACGTCCTCCTTAGATCCCAAATAAATCGGAGATCTCTCGTGGAGGCTAGTGGGTTGTATGTCCAAAATGGGTATCTTTCCGTTACTAGCGAGACCTCCAGCCTGGGTGACCAAGAAGGCCATCGGAATGCATTCGTATAACAGACGTAACTTAAAAATAATAACCAATTAATATCCCACGGTATCGGTTGTTTTAAATACATTCTTATCTCAAGTACCAACATAAAATACTTTGATTTGTTTGTTTGATATTAAACTACGTTATTTTTGCTAGTAGATAAAAATTTATATATTGTACTTAAAATTGTAAATGAACACACCTCTATTTACGATAAATACTTTATCAGTTACATCTGATCAAGATGAATGATGCTCGTTCGTATCTTTGTATTTTTCATGACGGAGTTTATTAGACTATCGTAAGAAATCACTAGTAACGGTTATTTATTTTACTTCCGATTCTCTTAATACATAAAATTAGCATATTTTAGTCTGGAAAACCAGGAAAACTTGAATTATCGTAGATCTGGAATTGTCAGGGATTTTCTTTTAATTCCAGGTATAATATTAGTCTTTATTTACGAGATGCTGCCACTGGATGTCCTCAGAATAAAAAAAAGTTGCCATAGATACGAGTCAAAAAATGCATAACGCTCTTGATGTAACATTTTTTCATTTACATGATTAAAAAAATAAAAAATTTAGAAAATTAGGCATTTTCAGAATCACCACTGAAGATGCCGACACTGTGTGGAATGAATATCAGGGCAGGCCTAAGGGTTATGATAACGGGTCCACCCCCACAGAGCCTAGACCGAGAACAAAAAGGGCAGGTCAACAATTTATATCCAAGGCTATGGAAGTATACTGTAAGTCTGTAACTGGCGATCAAGCACATATTCCTAGCAACCTGGAAATATGGGGGACATTTTTTACTCTAATAAAAAAATTCTTACCTTTCCATTTGGGGATGCAGTGGTGGCGGGATAAATAAAGATACCCCCATACTTAATCGTCCTGTGAACATCAGCAACCATCGATCCCACATACCTAGCATTGTACGGCTTGCCTTTAGCCGGATCCTTCTTATTCTGTACATATTCCTTCACGGCATCATCCCACATGTAACTATAACCTTCGTTTATAGCATAGATTTTGCCTCTATTTGGTACAGTCATGTTCTTATCTGTGAGAATGAACTCCCCGACACTTGGGTCTAACATAAAGCCGTGGACGCCATTTCCCGTGGAGATGACCATCATGGTGGCGCTTCCGTACAGTGCGTATCCAGCAGCCACTACGTTCCTTCCTGGTTGAAGAGCATCTTTAAGGCTAGGTATGGTGTTGTCCTCCTTTTTCAGGATGGCGAAGATGGAACCGATGGATACGAGACAGTCTATGTTAGAGGAGCCGTCCAAGGGGTCAAAGGCCACTATGTACTTGCCTCTGTTATCAAGTTCTATCTGTAAACATATAGAAGATATTGGTTTTACAGGTTTATAATTTTACCAAGATGGTACAAAAAAGAACAGATATTTATCTAAAAGTTTTTTGATAGTACCTCTATGACAGTTTCGTTTTCTTCTGAAATTAGAAGAGCTACAGTATATGATGACTGGAGCATATTAATAAATAATTCATTGGCCAAAACATCTAGTTTTTTTACTTCTTCGCCCTGTACATTTGTTTCTCCCACGGTTCCAAATCTGCAAAAATAAGGGTAATTTATACCGTAGATATTTTCTTTTGCGCAATAAATTTGGGTTACAATTAAATAATGTCAACCGTCTTGTCCTCTTTACAAAATTAATTAATTGCTATTAAAATCACAATCACAAAATAGTAGCTAAAAGAAGACGTTACATATCGCAATATTTCAGAATTTTGTCATATACTTTAGCATGACTGTACCAGTAAATACATTTAAAGTTGTTTCTGCATAATTAATCCCACTCCTGATTTACAACAACAGATATCTAAGGGCCGCTTTTATAAGCTAAGTTCTTCCCTTCAGGATGCTTAATACGGAATTAGTGCAGCTAATTGGCTGAATTTAAAAATCCGCCACATTTTTTTTAACTTCAACCAGTTGCTCTCATTTCAGTTATAATTCGACATGAGCAAAAGAATTCGCCTGAAGTAGGTAGGTACACTGTGATTTTAGTACTTATTATGGGTAATATAAATTACAGTCGAAATATTAAATTTTATGAGCTCTCTAAAAAACAGGATAAAAGAATGTTTGGAATATGGAGTATATTTGGTTGGACGACTGACATCACGAAACTTTTACCAATAGTGTAATCTTAAATCAGAGACTAATACTTAAGTTAATTCGTACTGGACAAATTTCACTAAGTACTTTGCCACTGCGCATCATACCCTCAGGTTTCAAATATATTTAATTTACGTTTAATATACACACCAATTGAAATCTTTAGCATCATTTTCTTAAAGCAAATAGTTCAATAAAAATAAATGAAAATTCATATCAAGGATTCATAATGTGTTTACTGTGGAATAATAAATATTTGGTTAAGAATTATCAAATAACTATTAAGTACCTAGATAATAATTTAAATAAATATTAATACTTAGGTTGAAAGATATTTGTTTACGATTATTTAAATCACAAAATTTCCAAACTATGTACAGTTTTCATTCTGTCAATAACCTGGCTGATTTGATATTCATTTAATGAAAGCTAAACTTGTTTAAAAAAAAAAAATGACAGTCACTTTTTAATACGTTCCCATTATACATATCATGGAGACTAGATAGTCTCCATGATACATATGCTCATGTTGTAGTTCAATTATTTGATAATATTACATACAAAGTTTCTTTGAAATTCTATCTGTTGTATTTGAAATATAAAAAAGGTAAGCAAATAAATACTATATAAAAAATACTACATCACTTACAATTGCGTGATGCCGGCTTTCCTCACGGCGCTACTGACCACTTTCACGGCCGTCTGGATGGCGTTGAGAAGTTGCGTTAGCTCCCCCGTAGCCTGTTTGAATCTCTTCTGCTCCTCCAGGAAAAACCTGGTCAGCGTTATGCAATTAGAATCTAGAGCGTGACTCGTCATGTTTCCACACGGCTGCTACAACGCGAACTGAACAGAATACTGAACGCGGGTGTCTGTAAAATAGATAAGTAAAAATAGTATTTGGTGCTTGACCTTTGGATCTAGAAGTCCCTTTCGACAAGCGCGTACGTTGTTGAGATCTGCGATAAGGAAGAAAATATAAACTTTAGGAGTACTTTTTTGATTCTACTTTTATTGGTCGAGTTTTATCGGTTGATTTGATTTTTATCTTATCAGTTTGGTTCCCAATTTTCACTTCAACTCGTTTATTGTTATTAGGGGTTTACGAAAAATATATCTGACCAATTGATCCGAGCGCTACCTGCTCTGGTCAGAGTGCTCTGTTAAATTGACTTTTTTCGTAAGCACCTACGAAACCGATCTAATCTAACCTCTATCTTATTATTTACTATTTAAATCACAGAAGATTTTAAATACAAATGTTTGTAAATGCTATAATCCGCAATTCAATGTATCGCAAATGAATAATTATAAGGAAATCGTTGTAGCGACTGTTATTGCTATAATTAATGATATCGAAGATCAAGAAGAGGAAGAAAAAAATTTGGAATTTGAAATGCAAATGCAAATACTCCATGAAAAAAGACGAAAGCGCGTCTGTATTAAAGGCTATGTGGAAGATATCGTTCCTGTAATGGATGGTAAGATTAAAAACTAAAATCAAATTAGTAATATTAGATACACAAATCTAGGTTTGTGTCAAGATACGTACTATCTATTTTCAAAATTTATTTTTTATGTAAAAGTAATTTTGTTTGTTTTATTTTTAGATTTTCGGGCACATTTTCGATTAAAGAGATCAACTTTTGAACATCTTATGAAACTTATTGCACCTCGCATAAAAATTAATATAAATAGTGTTGGGCGACCTTCAGGAAGTATTGAAAAAATGATGACTATCGCTGTGGATAGCTGCAAATAATTGTGTATATCGGTAACTGATAGTTAAATGTTTTATACTACAATGGTTTCATTTTTATAATTGAAAGTGATTTTATCAAATAAATTTGTGTTAAAGATTTTTTATTAAAATGTTCTTTTATAGTGATCTTTGTGATAGATTTCATGTTGCCATGTCTACTGCATGGGAATATTTTAGATGTATATGCAATGTTCTTGTAAATATGTCATCAACATTTATACAGTGGCCTAAACGTCGTAAAGCTAATACAATTATTAATGAATTTAAAGCTAAAAAGAATTTTATCAATGTACTAGGAGCAATTGATGGAACCCATATTGAAATATGCAAACCTTGGGAGAATCCAGTCCTTTTTCAACAGAAAGAAAAGATACAGTATACAAGCTCAAGTAATTTGTGATCACACTAAGCTATTTATTGACGTCTTTACCGGTAATTTTGTAAACTGAAGTATTGTAACAGTAACATGAAATTTATTTTTAATTTCTAGGTTACCCTGGAAGTGTACATGATGCTAGGGTATTTAAGGTCTCTGACATCAAAAAGAAAATTGATAGAGGCGACCTACTCTTTCCAAATGATTCATACCTGTTAGGCGATTCAGCATATGAAAATTCAAAATATCTATTAACACCTTATAGAGATGACGGATTTCTAAATGATATTAAAAAAAAGTATAATTATATTCATTCTTCTACTAGAGTAGTGATAGAACAAGTCATAGGTTTGTGGAAAGGTAGATTTAGGATCTTAAGATATTTAAATGTGTACAACACAGAAGACATAGCGAATATTATATTGGCCCTTGCAGTATTGCACAACATTTGTTTAGGTCTAGGGGATGATGATGTGGAATGTTACATATCGGATGAATTCAACGAAGACCGCAATGTCTCGGAAAATTCATCAACTTCAGGAGCTCTAAAGAAGGATCAAATAGCTGTTCATTTGTTTAATAACTGAAGAGTAATTTTTTATTGTCAAAAAGTATACATTACCCATACTAATATAAATTAATGTACTATGTAACTATTTAAGGTGGAAGGGATATAGGTATCTTGAATAAACATTTTGAAAAATATTCTTATTGTTTTTATTAATAATTCATTTAAACTTTATTAATGACACAAACTATTTAGAATATTTGTTAATTTGTTTAGAACCTCCATTCGTTCTTGATGTCTTAACATTGCATCCTCCCTATATTTTTTGAACCACTCTGGTTCTTCAGTTGCTAAACGGGCAGCAATACGACTTCTTTTTCTACTCACTGTAAAAAAAATATTTGCAATATAAATTACTGAAGATGAACTCGCTAAAAATGCTTACCCCTTCTTGTTGATCCTGGCGTCACAGCTTCTGGAGTGGTATGGTTTGGCGTATCGCAGTTACCTTCAGCATCTGAAGTAGTTGGAGTCATTGTTATTGAGGATTGTGAACTGTCTGTAAGATTTTTATTTTCACAATTTATATTCGATGCTATAGTACGAGGCAATACTTCGGGTCGGTTTTTCATAAATTCTTCAAAACAGTCGTAGTATTGCCATCTGATAGCACCCCTTCCACTTGCAATGTGTTTTTATCTTTAATATTTTTATACGTCTTTAGTAAACCTTTAATTTTTGTTTCAATTTGTTGCCAGGAGACAAGTATGTCTTTTTGCCATTTCAATATATAATGATTTATTTGTTTTTTTACCTTTGGACGTTGGATCCATGAAATGTTGTCGATAAAGAGATATTAAAAATTTTATTTGATGGTCTGTCCATCTAATTTTATTTTCATTATCGTCATTATTAGGTGTAGTTCCAGAATCTTCTGGAAGTGAGGCTGTTTCTATGGCACGAACTAAACCCTTCTGGTATAATTCATAATATTTTTCTGATATCTCTTCTGCAAATGTAGGATCTGAAATTATAATATATTAATTATAACAACCTATGTAGCACCTACATTTCCTATTAATTCAGTAATATAAAAACTTGCAATGCAATATTTATTGTTACTGAAAAACGAAATATACTATTTACCTACCTGTATTTGCTCGCAATAATTCTTGACTCGTCAAATAAACGTGAAAAGTGGTACCTGTATGATGTACCACTTCGGTAATATGTTCATCTACATCTACCATATTTAAATTATTATCTGCCATATTGCCATATTTGATATTTTCTTCGACAAGATAATTGAACACAACGAAATAACGTTAACAATGTTAACAACAGTCAACAAAACAATAAACAATATTTCTTTATAACATAACCCCTGACATAACCCATGGAGACTACACAACTCATAAACATAAGGCTTTTTTTCGCGAGTGAAGTCGTATGTTGTAGTATGTGTAGTATGAGTGAATATTACGTTTTTGCGAAAATAGTCAGTCGTTTAAACTACTATGTGACGTCACAAGTTTAGTTCAAATGACTGAACTCTTCACCCTTCAGCTGAATATTCTGTTGGTATATTCAACTAGTATTGTCAGCCGGTAACTTAACCTTTTTCTTTTTGACATTTTGTTTGAATGAGATTAAAAATCGTTCAGCAAATTGATGGATTCTGATACGGCTGTGGAAGTGGTCAGTTTAAATTTAAACTTTAGAGGCACAGATGTTTTAGTAAACGTAGACGTTGAAACAGCAAATATTTTACTTAGTGGTAAGATTAATTTTTTATATGGGATATATTTGCGATCCACTTTGCTTCAGGATTATCCTCTTTTTTTTGTGACCTAGGCCAGAGATAATATTGGTGGAATCATTTGTAATTCAGGTCTTTTTCGTATGAATTACATAAAAAACCGACCTAACCTCTTTCTAGTTTAATTTTTTTTATAAAAAATTTAACATACTTTTCACGCTTTTTAAATTTGCCACTTAAAAATATTCCAAAGAAAGCATTGATATATTCCTTCAGTTTTATTCGAAGCAAATACATTATTATTTAGTGAGATAACACCAATTCCCACAACACAAGCAATAAAGGATAACAAATTATGGTTACTCGTTAGAAGTTAGAACCCATATGTCAAATTGTCAAAGTCGTCAAAATACATATTACAATATGACAGGCTGCACCACTGAATAGTGAATATATACATTTTCGCGATCTGTTCAGGTTAGACAAGGTTAGAAAAAAGATGAAAAGAGATAGAAACAGTAACTACAAGTCAGACGTATTCACCAATATTCACTCGCGAAAAAAAGCCTATAGTTTTTAGTTTTTTAACGTTTTTACCAATAAAAATAAACAGCACGCATGCGCCAATTTCAGATCATTCTTTAATCTGACAAATAAGCAGGGGCGACTAGAGCGCTCAGATTTTCTATGTCTGAGCATTGAAGTTGCATTTTCGTAATGAGATCGAATGATCAGAGTGAATATTCGTAAGGCATATTCTTGATCCGACCACTCCGATACAATTATCGTAAACCCCTATTATCTGTAATCCTTGACATTAATTACATAACAATTTATGTATATTATGTTTATGGGTTATAGGTATGTCGTTCGATATTTGACATATTTGTAATTCATTATGACAATGCAGTCTTTCTGTTTAAAATAAATAATAAGAAGGTCTCAGTTCATCTCACCTAACTGACCAATCAGCATTCAAAAATTAGCTGATTGAAATCAGGTAAATAAAATACGGCTACTATTGATTTATTCTTTGACAACTGCGATTGGAGCGACATCTAGTAGCAAATAGGAAAACTACATATAGGTATACTGTGAAAAGGTTTGCTATAGAGATCGAACAAGCAAGCTAAAGCTCTATTGTACTCCTAGGTGGCATCTCGACATTATCGCTTTGTCGACATAGCAATTCCATATAAGTAATATATTATAAATATATATAGTAAGTTATTACATTAGGATTATAAAAGAAATTGTAAATCTAATGAATAATATTCGTACCCACAAAACATTTTTGTAAGTCATACATACATATGCTGTGCTTATACATTATTGCTGCTCTCTAGGTTAAACAATCTAAGCTCAGGAATAGATTGGAAATAATAGTGAGTAGGTAATTATAAATAATTCTCCTACGCATATAACGTATACAATACAGAAACTTGATTTTATTATGCGTCCTTTATATAATTGTCTGTAAGATGTCGCCACAGACCACAAACAGCATTTATAAATTAAAAATTATGTTTTAAGTATTTTAAAAACAGAATGTTGCTTACCCCCAAACAGTTTAATTTTTAAATTCTGTAGGACACAAAATGGAATTGAATAGCAACAACAATTTTCTTTATTTTGTTTCGTTATGGTTCTCATTCTTCTGCTCAGTTATATTTTATTCAAGTGTGTTAAATTACCCGAAAAGTAAATTTAACAAATAAATGCTTACTTCTTTATTGACAAATAAGTTACTTATTAAACTAAAGTTGTCATAATGTTCCCATACAAATACATACAACAAAATTTAACACTTCATTGGTTTTTTATAGTAGAGACGTAGTCTTTAACCATAGCACATTAAAAATTAATTTATAAAATAGATTGCAATACACAAATAACTAAGTATTGAATTGAGAAATACGTATTTCAATTTTGTATAAATGTGTTTTAAATGAAATATAACACTTCTCACTAGTATAAAGTGATTTTTCAGTGCACTGCCTTGTTTACTGTAAACCGCAACGCTTATCTCGAAAATCATGTGAACAATTGTATTGTACAAGCCAAGTTGAAATAGCAGGACACAGATAGTATTGCAGAGAAATATTGCTTTATAGGAATGTAGAATGTACAGGAGTCCATAAACATTTTTATAAAGATTTATTCAAAATTTCTTTTACAAATCGCTCAAAATATTGTTTATTGATTTATCGTTCTGTCCCTATTGCACATAAACAGTTACAGTTTTGTAATAAGTAGGTACTATGTAACAGTGTCAACACGGTATAGTTAGCTGATTTGGTGTACAAAATATACATTATGTTACAATAGAGAATAGAGTGAAGTTTTTATTAAAAATCTATTAATTAAATATTCTACACAGTAAACCATACCGCTGCTTTAAATATATGAATTATAGTTATACAGGCTTATTTTGTGAAAAAAAAGTTCATACAAACGTAGGTTGAAATAAGCTTCATTTCCCAGATACAGTTCAGTAAATTTTAATTTTTTATTTATTTTTATTAATTATTTCAAAGTTTGAAATATATTCACTCGAATTTTGATGGTTGTATTTTATTTAGAAATATTGAGAGCAATCCACTAGATAATGTATCAATAGAAATTAAATATACACAGCTTGCAAAAATATATGTCTGTTTTATTTTTTCCTCAAAACGGTGCATCCTACGAAAGAAATTGAAGAGGCCAATTTCATTCAGAATTGATGGCGGATTTCTAAAAATATATCAAAACGGGAAAAAGTCAGTGGAGTACTATTTTTTTTTTATTAAAAGAGGTTGGGACAACTGACATTCTCGCGCAAACGCCACTGGTGAAAGTAGAAATATTCGGATCACCCCAAGAAATGCACATTTATCCCTCCAAAGTGTTTATTAAATTTCGAGTCGAGTTTAAAACTCTGAAATAATTAAAAAAAAATAAATAAAAAATTAAAACTTAAACACTCTGTATCTCGGAAATGAAGCATATTTCCACCTACGTTTATATGAACTTTTTTTCACAAAATAACTTCGACAACCACCCCCTAAAATATTCCGCACTTATTTACAAACACCCTCTATTTCATCTTGCATGTATAATTAAATTAAATTAATTTTTAAAGGATTTGCTTCTATAGGGTGTTTACTTGGAGAGAATATTTGAAATGTAAATAAAATAAGTCATAGTGTGAACAGTCGATTGACAGAAATATTTTTTTGCAAATAAATTTTTTTAATATCCTCTGACTTATCACACTGATACGATAAAAACTTTTTTGGTTCGCTGACTCCACCGATAGCTACTGTTTTTTTTACGGTTACAATAGCGAATATTGATGAAATAGACTACTTTGTGTTAGTTCTGGAAATAGAATGCAATTTCACAATGTTACATTTCATTTTGATATAAATATTAAGAAATAGTTAACTATTTAATGTTTTTTTCAGTCATTAGTGATCGCTATTTGATTTTAATAACCAAAAACGAACCAGTAAAATACCTGCAAAATGCAACTGTTAGACAAAGTTAATTTTCTACTAATTTAAATAGTAAACTATCAGGAATCAGCGGGGGTAGGTATTTTGTGCACCTCTTAATGAAACCTCCAACCCCACAATATTTTTCCCTTCGCGCCCTCCACTCGGGTGCCCTCCTCACCGGGAATATGTTCCCTTTCGTGTTTTGAAAATGCATCCGCTGCCGTACAGCGGGAAGGTTACAACGTGTAATCATCGGCCACACGTACGACTGCCGCTGCACGTAAGGTTACTACCCTTACCTTGTCCGGGCCGCCGCAGTGCGTTTCGAGGGTAGTGGTGGCTACGCTACGGCTCCCGGAACCCGGAAACGCCGGTATCGCGTTGGAGAACGAACGTAATATACCGGTAAATGGAAGGAATTTGCACAGTATGGAAACGTGGTGGGATAATAGCTGAATTAATGTTTGTCGTTGCTTTCCTGGACTGAGCCAGAGGGAAGATGGGGTGTAAACTGTAATAGTTGGCTTTTTACTTTCAACACGGCACGAAATAGCGTTTTCTAAAACGAAAGAGTCTTAAATTTTCTGTGACATAATAATTGCAGAGTAAAATACACTAGGCACAAAAGTTAAGGGATATTTAAAAAATCCCAAAATTTTGAGTGATTTTCAAAGAGCTGTAACTTGAAGGGAAATGGTCGTAGAGAGAATAAAAAAAAGGAAATTGAAGCTTCAAGTGTCTAGTTTTCAGATCTGCAGATTAAAATTTTTTATCGTCAGCAGTTTCTGTGTAATCGTAAGAAAATCAGCGGAAAAAAAATTTTTGTAAAATTTTGCTTTTTTTTAAAAAAAAGGCCTATGGACTTCAAAAAATTTTTTTGGTAATTTCACGATAAAGCTCTTTTACATAATTTAATTCTCTTCAATTTGAGCGGTTCCGGAGCCTTGTACGATTATTTGTCGCTGAGTTGCCTTCGATCAAAGCAAAAAAATCATTTTTGACTTTGGCAATCAATTACTCGGGAAATAATTATGGCTTTTTGATAAAAAATAT